AGACGGGGATAATAGTATAATAATATGATTGGGATCGATTGTATTGTTCTGGTCTGATGTCGTGTGTTCTGTTGTCCAACGCTGTTCGATCAGTTGGGTCGCGGTGGATTGTGCGCGCTGACTAATTTAACTGATCCACAGAATCCACAGCTCCGAACACCCGGATTTTGTCCACCACCCAAAATATGCCCATATTCTGACACCATTATTACCTATTTCATCAGTATTCCAGATGAGAGTGAATATCTGACAATTGTGTCTTGGTTCTGTCTACGGTTGTGGGCACACCTAGGGGGTGCCAAGCCTTCCTGTGATCCGATTGGCTCTCACAGATGCCAGGTCGCGCTAGTCTAACCCAGCTGTAAGGGTCTCACATAGGTCAGGTATTTGAAACTGTGTTGAATTACAAAGTAATTGCAGTGCAGAGCTTGTAAGAAGCTCTGCGCGGAATATATCTAAGTGGGGGTGTGCATGGGCCACCAAACAGGTGGCTCGTGCGCGAACATCAAAACAACGCTAAGGCATCTGGCAGGTGGCCTGTGCGGGGCAACGGCCCAAAACCATCACACGTCCCCCCCCGAAAAGCGCTCAAAGTTCCGACTGAGGCGCAAACTTATTTGAGTACTTGCTATCTAGTAGCTGGAGCAGGGCTATAGCGAGCTGTCCGTCGTCATCGTAGTCATGAAATGTGGCGTGTGGTCCTGGTCGGCCAGGGTTGCGGCTGTGAAAGTCCTGGACTGACTCTTTACAGCTGCGCAGGTTATGGTAGGGCTGCCATGGCTCTGACTGATCGTCGCCCACCCATTCCACCTTGTATTGCAGCAATCCACGCTCACCTGTGTGAGGGTCGACGAGATTGCGTCGTATGCGAGAGTCTAGGACTTGGGAGACCACGTATTCTGTGACTCCATCGTTGCCAAGGTGGACTTCGGGGGGAGCGGCATCGCCTGGACGAGGTTGTCCGGGTAAGGCGTCGTCCTCGTACGGTTGTAGGAGCCATGGGTGGAAGGCTGGGAAGATAGCTTTAAGCTGAGGAGGGAGGTCTAGTTCGTAGGCCATGTTGTCAATGACCCGAGTGATCTGGTATGGCCCTATATTCTTGTGGTCTAGTGACTTAACTGGTCTTTCGGTTTTAATGTGGCGGGCGTTCAGCATCACCCAGTCACCCACGTCGAACCGTGGTGCTGGGTATCGGTTCGCGTCTGCGAACTCTTTCATCTTGTCTTGAGCCCATAGGATTTGTTGTCGCAGGAAGGTGCGCGTTGTGTCAATGCGCTGGGCGAGGGCATCAGCGTTCCGTTGCTGTTGGGCGATAGTAGGGTGGTTGTTAAGGGGGCGCAGAAGGTGAGCGGGCTCCAGTCCAGATCGCGGTTGGCGTCCCTTTGTGGCGAGGAACGGAGATAACCCGGTAGCTGTGCTAATGGCCGAATTGGCTTCAAATTCTGCTAAAGGCAATAGCTGGGCCCAATCCGTCTGTAGGTAGTTAACGTACGCCCTTAGGTATTGTTTGAGATCGGCGTTTGCATTCTCGGTCTGACCGTCGGTTTCTGGGTGATGGGAGGTAGAGAGTTTAGGGTGCGTTCCCACCTGGGCACACAGGCGATTCCAGAAATGTGACGTGAATTGGCGGCCCCGATCTGATACAAGAGTCCTTGGGTATCCTTCCTCTTTCCAGATGTATTCCATAAACTTGTCAACGACTGTAGGCACCTCTAGGTTTTCCATTGCAATGAACTTCTTCATTTTTGATAGACGGTCAACCACGACCATGATGTGTTGGTAAGAGTGACCACACCAGGTTGACTTAGGCAGTGGGGTGATGAAGTCGATGGATATGTCATCCCAGTACTGAGTAGGGACAGGCAGCGGGTGAAGCAAACTATGTTTGGCGGTGCGGTTAACCTTAGAGCGTTTACAGGTTAGACAGTTGTTGGTAAAGCGCGCAATTGTGTTCGTCATGCCCTGCCAGTAGTACCACTGGCTTACTTGTTGGTACGTCGTCGTGCGACCTCCGTGGCCGCCCGGTAGGCTATTGTGGATGTGTGCGATAATCCTCGTACGGAGTTTCTCACTGAAGGGGACGACAAGACGCCCGTTGCCAATAAATAGCTTGCCGTCGTTGCTGGCTTCTAGGTCGGCTAGTTCCATCCGAATGCCTTCCGCTATGAGGTAATGTGGGATACGGCGGTCATTAGAAGCGAGGGCTGTCTTTACATCGCGTAGGCGTGGGTCGCTAAGGCAGAGTTCTAAGAGGACATCGTCGAGGGGGCGATCGTCGGCTCCTTCGATGTCGTCATATGGGTCATGGGTGCCCTTTAGGGAGAAGCGGGCTAACCCTACCAACATTGTAGAGGTGGACAGTGAAGCGCCTTCGCCGCTCTCTTGCATCAGTGTAAGGACGGAGCCTAGGTCGCAAGGATTGTCGCCCAGGCATACTCCGGCGAGGCGTACAGCGGCATAGCTGCCGCCCCATCGGTTGGAACCTAGGATAGTCTGGCATTGGTGCTGGACCCGGTCGTCCGTGACTGAGTCTGGCAAGTCTCCTGTCCGGCGGGTAAGGCTGTCGGGTTTAGTACCCTGTTTACCAGGGCGGTATTGTATGCGAAAGTCGAATTCCTCTAGGAACTCAGCCCAGCGGGCTTGTCGACGATTGAGATTGCGTTTAGAGCGGAAGTATTCGAGCCCGCGATGGTCTGTTAGCACTTCTACCGCCTCAGGAACTCCTGCGAGTTCTGGCCTCCATTCCTCGAAGGCGCGGACTATAGCGAGGAGCTCCTTGTCGTATATCTCGTAATTACACTCTGTGGGCGACATCTTCTTTGAGAGATAGGCGACCGGCCGGACTGATCCGTCTGGCTGGACCTGGGAGAGCACTGCTGCGTACACATAGTCAGACGCGTCAGTTTCTACGATAGTCTTTAGGTCGGGGTCAAAGTGGGCGAGCACCACGTCGCTACAGAAGGCGACTTTCAGTGCGAGGAAGGAGCGCTCAGCTTCTTTAGTCATCTTGAATAGCTTAGGGTCGCCCTTAGTGAGATGCGTTAAAGGTTTTGCGATATCCGAGAAACCGCGTATAAATCGGCGGTAGAAGTTAGCAAAACCTAAAAAGGCTTGTACATCTTTTAGAGATTGCGGAAGCTTCCAGTCCTGAATGGCGCTGACTTTGTCTGGGTCCATTTTAATACCGTCGGCGGTGATGATAAGCCCGAGGAATTTAACCTCTGTCGTTATGAAGTCGGATTTAAGAATGTCCATAGGCAATCCGGCGTCTGCGAGCCGAGAGACTACCTGTACTAGGTGCTTCTCGTGTTGATCAAGAGTCTCACTAAAGATAATTACATCGTCTAAGTAAGCCATGCAGAACTCATCGAGATATTCGTGTAGGACGTCGTTAATGTATGCTTGGAAGGTTCCTGGGCTATTGCACATGCCGAAGGGCATAACAGTGTATTGGTACAGTCCGTAGGGCGTGATGAAGGCGGAGAGGTGTTTATGTTCTTCTTTGATGCGTATCTTATTGAATGCGGCGATCACATCTACCTTGGAGAAGTATCGCGATTTTGAGAGCTTAGCAAGCATGTCCCGGATTAGTGGTGGGGCATTTCGGTTCTTGACAGTGTGGGCGTTCAGACCGCGATAGTCGACGCATATGCGGATGCCTCCACCTGGCTTGCGCACAACAAGAAGGGGTGCGGCCCAGGCGGAAGTGCTGCGTTCGACGTGTCCTTTCTTGATCATGTCGTCCACATAGAGTTTCACCGCTCGGGCTTCATCTCGGGACATTGGGCGTAGACGCTGGAATGACGGCTTAGGCGGCTGGCCAGTATCGTCGAGCTTAAGTTCGATTTTGTGGTCAAGGTTACCCCGGAGCTCTGGGAGCTCGTCCGCTTCTTTAGGGTCAAAACCTTGGTACAAGGGATGAAGGACCTTAGGTAATCGCTTGAGGATTTCTTGTCTCGTCATGTGCGGACGTTCCATCTTGTCGCGGAACTTCTCGTAATCCTCTGGGAGCACTTTGGCTCCTGCAGCACGTAGGTGCTGAGTGTCCTCCCATTCCTTGTCGGATAGCTCGGCGATGCGGCCGATTTCATCGTAAGAGGTGATACAAATGTCCTGGTCGTGACAGACGGCTGCCGCGGCTACGCGGCTAGAGATGAAAGCTACATCAATTGGTGGGGGTGCTTTGGGGTGACGAGCAACCTTCCGGCAAGGGTCAGGGACCTGGGGGAGAGGTTGCTTGTGGTGCCGGCTGCTCTGAGTGTGACAGGGTCGGTGGTCGTGGATACAGTTAATTAGACAGTGCTCCGAGTCAAAACTTAGAGACATGTCTTTCCAGTTAACTCGGGGTTCATGGGTTTGGAACCAGGGCGTTCCTAGGATCATTTGGACACCAGAGAGTTTGGTGACATAGGCTAGGACATCTTCGGTGTGGGTGCCAAATGTGACAGTTACCCGGGCCATATGGGTAACGCCTGCCACTAGAGAGCCATCAGCGAGTTCTAGAGTAGCAGGCTGGGAGAGAGAGATAAGGTCGTATTTATGTGCGCGGGCATGAGAAGAATCAATGAAGAGAGAAGCACAACCAGTGTCACCCATGATTTCGACGTGTTGAGGAGAGGAGCGATGAGAAGAAATGATTCCTTTAAAGACTAATTGCTGGCCTACTAGAGGCTGATACTTATCACCGCGTATAGCGGCGGCAGCAATGGCCGAGACGGTGATCCGGGATCCAGTCTGGCTCTGTTGTTTTAGAGCCTTGACACGGTTCGCAATTGCCTGGAGTGTTGGATCCGGGTCGGACTCATCGTCAGAGCTGACTTCTACGGTAGGGGAAAGGGCTAGGGTCAAAGAATCGTCGACAAAGCGGTTAGGATGTAACTCCTCTTCTTCTTCGCTGTCTTCGACAGAAGGGGCAGGGGGAATTAGGGGATGTGCTGGTGGTTGTACTGGGGGTGGCTTCTCATGCCGGGGAGGTCCCTGGGGGCGACTGTCGCCAGGGACTAAGCATTTTCCGAAGGTTGGGGAGAGGTGGAGGTGACGCTAGCTGCGGCGCCCTTGACCTTAGGGCGGGCTGGCTCTCCGACGGGTACGCCATTGTTAGCAATAGCCTTCTCAAGAGCGTCCTGAACTTCGGGGTACGAGTCAAAAGAGGCGACCGGCTCCTTAGAGCAGTAACCTCCTGTAGCCTTAAAGGTGTGATTCTTCTTAAGACAGTTGAAACAACGATTTAAGTGACGGAGGACCTTGACCTGGATGTCAGAGCGGCCACGGGGGCCAGATCCCGAGCTGGATCCACCGTTCCGGGGTCCGTTAGAGGGAGTGGACTTATTGCCGCCTGCTCCGCCGCCCCCGCCACCTTCTAAACTCTGATTTCCTCTACGGTTGCCAGTTGTAGTGGCTCGTTGTGGGTTGGACTGTTCGAGGAGACGAAGGGTTTGACAGAAGTCAAGGTAGGTGAGGCTAGACTCTAAGACTTTCATGGCGGTCATGTCGCGCCACCATACAGGCAGCCGGTTGCGCATGAACTGGATCTTGAGGGTGTCGGGCCAACGAAGGGCCGAGGTGCCGACGTTAAAGCGGGCGATGTACTCACCCATAGACTCTGTGGGCTTCATAGTGGAATTCAAGCTCTCATACCAGGACTGAGCTTCGATGCT